AGGCTAAACATGCCCAGCTCCTTAAGCCGCTCCTCATAGGGCTTGTTCTCCAGACCCTGATCATTTAGTCACCCTCCCTACGACATATTCCCTTCTCATATTTATACATGGCCCTCATATCTCCTCTCAGCCTTCTCTTCTTCAGGCTAAACATGCCCAGTTCCCTAAGCCGCTCCTCATAGGGCTTGTTCTCCAGACCCTTGATCGTTTTAGTCGCCCTCCTCTGGACACATTCCAGCTTGTCAATATCTCTCTTGAATTGTGGTGCCCAGAATTGGACACAATATTCCAGATGTGGTCTAACCAAAGCAGAATAGAGGGGTAGCATTACTTACTTAGATCTAGACACTATGCTCCTTTTGATGCAGGCCAAAATCCCATTGGCTTTTTTTGCCGCCACATCACATTCCTGGCTCATGTTTAACTTGTTGTCCACGAGGACTCCAAGATCTTTTTCACACGTCCTGCTCTCGAGCCAGGCATCGTCCCCCATTCTGTATCTTTGCATTTCGTTTTTCCTGCCAAAGTGGAGTATCTTGCATTTGTCCCTGTTGAACTTCATTTTGTTAGTTTTGGCCCATCATCTCTCTAATCTGTCAATATCGTTTTGAATTCTGCTCCTGTCCTCTGGAGTATTGGCTATCCCTCCCAATTTGGTGTCGTCTGCAAACTTGATGATCATGCCTTCTAGCCCTTCATCTAAGTCATTAATAAAGATGTTGAACAGATGGCGCAAGGAAGCTTTCTTTTACCTAAAGCTTTCTTGTTACTTGCCATAGATGCAGGCAAAACGTCGGAAGAGAATGCTTCTAGAACATGGCCATATAGTCCGAAAAACCTACCAGATCGGACTACTGTAATGCACTCTACGTGGGGCTACCCTTGAAAACAGCCCGGAAATTTCAACTGGTTCAACGAGCGGTGGCCAGGTTGTTAACTGGAGCTCCTTACAGGGAGCGATCAACCCTTCTGTTTAAGGAGCTCCATTGGCTGCCATTCATTTTCCGGCCCCAATGCAAGGTGCAGGTGCTTACATACAAAGCCCTCCAGTGGTTCTCAACCTGGGGTCCCCAGATGTTTTTAGCCTACAACTCCCAGAAATCCCAGCCAGTTTACCAGCTGTTAGGATTTCTGGGAGTTGTAGGCCAAAAACATCTGGGGACCCCAGGTTGAGAACCACTGCCCTAAACGATTTGGGACTCACCTACCTGCGTGTCTGATCTCTGTATACAAACCCACACAATCTCTTCGATCATCTGGAGAGTCCCTGCTCGCACTCCCACCTCCATCGCAAGCGCGATTGGTGGGGACGAGGGAGAGAGCCTTCTCAGTGGTGGCCCCTCGACTCTGGAACTCACTCCCCAAGGACACTAGGCAAACCGCAACTCTGGCAGTCTTTAGGAGGAGTCTGAAAATGTGGTTGTTTCAGTGTGCCTTCCCAGAATAAGGAAACTCCCAGCAATATGTCCCTTTATTAGTGATTTAAGATTGTCTGCACATTCATCCCTCTCCAAAACTTCTATCTCACTTCCATGTCACCTTGTCATGCCCAGCATTATTTTTTTTTAAAAAAATTAATTATTACATTTGGCCCAGCCATAGGTTTTTAAATGCGTCGTGTTACTGTTAATGTTTATTGCTTATTTTTGCTTATGAGTTTCTTTATTGTTTTGTATTATTGTTGTTATTGTTTATTGTTGTATTGTGGGCTCGACCTCCTGTAAGCCGCACCGAGTCCCTTGGGGAGATGGTAGCGGGGTACAAATAAAGTATTATTATTATTATTAGGTTCTTGTGGGTTTTTTCGGGCTATAGAGCCATGTTCTAGAGGCATTTCTCCTGACGTTTCGCCTGCATCTATGGCAAGCATCCTCAGAGGTAGTGAGGTCTGTTGGAATTAGGACAATGAGTTTATATATCTGTGGAATGGCTGGGGTGGGGCAAGGAGCTCTTCCCTGCTGCAGTTAGGTGTGAATGTTTCAGCTGATCACCTTCATTAGCATTTGAAGGCCTGCCTGAGCCTGGGAAAATCTCTTGCTTGGAGGTGTTAATCTGTGCCTGGTTGTTTCCTCTCTGTTGTTTTGCTGTTGTAAACAACCAGGCACAGATTAACACCTCCCAGCAAGAGATTTTCCCAGGCTCTGCCAGGCCTTCAAATGCTAATGAAGGTGATCAGCTGAAACATTCACACCTAACTGCAGCAGGGAAGAGCTCCTTGCCCCACCCCAGCCATTCCACAGATATATAAACCTTTTTCCTAGTTCCAACACACCTCACTACCTCTGAGGATGCTTGCCATAGATGCAGGCGAAACGTCAGGAGAAATGCCTCTAGAACATGGCTCTATAGCCCGAAAAAACCCACAAGAACCTAGTGATACCAGCCATGAAAGCCTTCGACAATATTATTATTATTATTATTATTATTATTATTATTATTATTATTATTATTGCCACAATCCAATGATTCCACCCATGAAAGCCTTCGATAATACATCTCTCAGGCTCATTGCAACTTCCCTTGACCCTGATGCCACACTCACAATTCTCCCCAGCACTCAACACACAAGAAGCCCAGTTGTCACCACAAGTGCAAGGCTCACACAGCCTGCTCAAATCCAATAGTTACACTCCTCAATTAGTTTTAATCCCCATCAATTCAAGCACCGGCAAAGAGGAAATTCCCACGGGATGCACATGGTCGAGGGCTCGTGGAAGAGAACTCAACTTGACAGTGTCTTTATTTATGTCATTTATTTATTTACGTCACTTTTATCCCACCCATATCAGCCTGGTGACGCACAACATACACTCAGAGACAGAATTAGAAGGGACAAGGGGCTGGCTAACCCCACTGCCCCTGACAATGGAAGTCACACAAGCCATTGGGACTAAAAGCATCGTCAATGAATGACACCGATAATTGTACTTCCTCCTCATAGCTCTTAGTGGTGTAGCTATACTAGCTTATAGCTTGGCTTTCTCCTACAAAACCCATTCAGATGCCCACAGCACAGAGAGATGCAAACACAGGGACCAGGACCCACCTCAGAGGTCAACTCTGTCCCCATATCAGGACCTCTTCTCCGATACATGCACACGTTGACCTCCAAGTGTGGGATTTGCTGCCAATTGCCAACAATGCCCTCCCATTCTGCAGAAAGTATATAGACATGTTTCCGTGCAAAGGAATGCGCAGACACAATCCGACGCAAGACAGAGCAATATCTGAGCCAATAAACAAAACCAAGTTCTCAGGAATCTCCGTAATTGATCAGTCATTCTTAAATGAAGGAAATGGAAAAGGGAATGCGCAACATGAATCCCACCAAGAAATTAAGTTGTATCACCTCTGGTGTCAACAGGGATAAAGTTTTGGGTGGCTTTTAACCAAATTATGAGGGTTGAATGAAAAGTAATGCCTCCACCTTCGAAACTCCTCAACAGATGGCAGTACTGGTATGCGACAGGTGTTGGCTTGTTCAGTAGACTCTCCTCTACAGTTCCATTTTGGTGGGAAGCCTTAGCATTGATGAGTTGTGTTGTTAAAGTGTGAAGTATGGAACCCTGCACAGACAGCCGGTCAATGAGACTTAAGCAACGTATGTGGCAGGTACTGGCTTGTTCAGTAGACTCTCCTCTACAGTTCCATTTTGACGGGAAGCCTTAGCATTGAATGGTTGTGTTGTTAAAGTGTGAAGTATGGAACCCTGCACAGACAGCCGGTCAATGCGACTTAAGCAACGTATGTGGCAGGTACTGGCTTGTTCAGTAGACTCTCCTCTACAGTTCCATTTTAGTGGGAAGCCTTAGCATTGAACAGTTGTGTTGTTAAAAGTGTGAAGTATGGAATCCTGCAAAGATTGTGGCTCAATGTGACTTAAGCAACATATGTGGCAGGTACTGGCTTGTTCAGTAGACTCTCCTCTACAGTTCCATTTTGGTGGGAAGCCTTAGCATTGAACGATTGTGTTGTTAAAGTGTGAAGTATGGAACCCTGCAAAGATGGTCAGTAAATGCGACTTAAGCAACGTATGCGGCAGGTACTGGCTTGTTCAGTAGACTCTCCTCTACAGTTCCATTTTGGCAGGAAGCCTTAGAATTGAATGGTTGGGTTGTTAAAGTGCGAAGTATGGAAACCTGCACAGACAGTCGGTCAATGTGACTTAAGCAACGTGCAGTCATTGAATTCTTGACAGCAGAAGGTGTCACCCTCAAACGAGATTCAAACTGTTTATGGTGATTGTGTTGATGTGAGTACTGTGCCTCGTTGGGTGAGTAAGTTTAAAGATGTTGAGGTGGGAACATCTGTCTTGCGTGATAAACAAAGAGTCGGACGTCCTGTGACAGCAACCACCGAGTTTCACAAGTAAAAGGTTGACAGATTTATTTATTATTTATTTTGGACTTTTATATCCCGTCCTATCTCAATTCAGGACGATCGTCGTACCACTTAGAGAGATATTTCAAGCAAGTTAAAGAACACATCCCAAGGATTATTTTTGTGTTTGATTTATTAAAATATTCCCATCCAAACCCAAGTAATGAAGGTGGAGGCATTACTTTTCATTCAACCCTCGTATATTGTGTTAGTTGGCTTTCGAATGCCAGGTTATCTGTCTTTTGAGCAACAGTTCTGTTCAATACCAATAATGATGATGATTTCATTTCTTCCCTGCCTCTCCTTGTGGCGCGAGGCAGGTTACAGAATAATTAAAACACATAAACATTGGAAAAATAACACAAATGCAGATATTCAAATGTATTTCTACAAAATACGTATCATAATACACAAAACAAAGGTGTTGCTGATGCTGTGACTGCCACAGTCTATGCTTTCTGCACTTAAGGACGGAGGTAAATTCTCCACCAGAGAGAGACCCCTTCCGCAATGGATGAATTCCTTATATATCCCATAGAATAGGTTCTCGTCTGGGAATGAGGCTGGAAGGACTGTAATTTGCTCAACACCGCTGGTACAAAATGGAAAGGCAGGCTTACCTCCTCGTCGGAGCTGTCTTCCACATATTCGTTCCCCAGAGACTCTTCCTGCTGAGCGGTCCCTCTGTCCCTGACCGTTTGGCCCAGCCTTCCCTTCTTCTTAAGAGCTTCTCCAGCCTGTAAACAAGGATGGTGCAAACAGTTATCGTGCAAAGACAGGAAGAGGCTGCATTAGGTGCAGTTTCATTGGAGCCCCTCACTCAAACCATGGCTCACTGGTGCCAAACGGGAGTTGTAGCTTTATAAGGTCTTTAACCATCTCTGCAAACTCCAACTCCCAGGCTTCCATAGCACTGAGTTATAGAAGTTGAAGTGGTGTCAATCTGCATTCATTCTACAGTGCAAGTGCACCCTAAGTCCCAGCAAAAGAGGGACACATCCCTATTTGCAGGGAGCAAAGCTGGGAAAGAGGGCAGAGTCTTCCTGCGAGTCACACTGGACTTTTTAAACACAACGTGGTTACTGTCAGACCCCCCCCCCTTCCTAACATTATTTTATGTATTGTCGAAGGCTTTCATGGCTGGAATCACTAGGTTCTTGTGGGTTTTTTCGGGCTATAGGGCCATGTTCTAGAGGCATTTCTCCTGACGTTTCGCCTGCATCTATGGCAAGCATCCTCAGAGGTAGTGCGGTCTGTTGGAAATAGGAAAATGGGTTTATATATCTGTGGAATGTCTGGGGTGGGGCAAAGAGCTCTCTGCTGAAGCTAGGTGTGAATGTTTCAGCTGACCACCTTCATTAGCATTTGAAGGCCTGGCTGAGCCTGGGAAAATGTTCTGTTGAGAGGTGTTAAGATGTGCCTGGTTGTTTCCTCTCTGCTGTTTTGCTGTTGTAATTTTTTTTTTTAGTTTTTTAATACTGGTAGCCAGATTTTGTTCATTTTCATGGTTTCCTCCTTTCTGTTGAAATTGTCCACATGCTTGTGGATTTCAATGGCTTCTCTGTGTAGTCTGACATGGTGGTTGTTGGAGTGGTCCAGCATTTCTGTGTTCTCAAATAATATGCTGTGTCCAGGCTGGTTCATCAGGTGCTCTGCTATGGCTGATTTCTCTGGTTGAAGGAGTCTGCAGTGCCTTTCATGTTCCTTGATTCGTGTAGAGGTGAGAGGATCCCTCTTGTCCTTTGCTGAACGTAGCATTTGTTGGATTTTCTTGGTGGGTTTGTAGATTGTTTGTATGTTGTGTTTCCTCATCAGCTTCCCTATGCGGTCAGTGGTTCCCTTGATGTCTGGCAAGAACACTTTTCCTCTGGGTGGATCTTCATCTTTACTCTCCAATTGGCCTGGAGTCTCCATTGGCCTGGAGAGCCCAGTTGAGGTGGTTCAGTTCATCTTGGAGGAGGTGGGCTTCGCAGATTCTTTTTGCACGGTCTGCCAAGAATCTGCGAAGCCCACCGCCTCCAAGATGAACTGAACCACCTCAACTGGGCTCTCCAGGCCAATGGAGACTCCACCTCAGACATCAGAAGAGCTGCAAGACCGAGAAGAAGCCACGAGAGTCAAGATGAAGATCCACCCAGAGGAAAAGTGTTCCTGCCATACATCAAGGGAACCACTGACCGCAGAGGGAAGCTGATGAGGAAACACAACATACAAACTATCTCCAGACCCACCAAGAAAATCCAACCAATGCTACGTTCAGCAAAGGACAAGAGGGATCCTCTCACCTCTACATGCATCAAGGAACATGAAAGGCACTGCAGACTCCTTCAACCAGAGAAGTCAGCCATAGCAGAGCACCTGATGAACCAGCCTGGACACAGCATATTATTTGAGAACACAGAAATGCTGGACCACACCAACAACCACCATGTCAGACTACACAGAGAAGCCATTGAAATCCACAAGCATGTGGACAATTTCAACAGAAAGGATGAGACCATGAAAATGAACAAAATCTGGCTACCAGTATTAAAAAACTCTAAAATTACAACAGCAAAACAGCAGAGAGGAAACAACCAGGCACAGATTAACACCTCTCAACAGAACATTTTCCCAGGCTCAGCCAGGCCTTCAAATGCTAATGAAGGTGGTCAGTTGAAACATTCACACCTCGCTCCAGCAGACAAGAGTTCTTTGTCCCACCCTGGACATCATCCCACATTTTCCTCGTTCCAACAGACCTCACTACCTCTGAGGATGCTTGCCATAGATGCAGGCGAAATGTCAGGAGAAAAATTGCCTCCAGAACATGGCCCTATAGCCCGAAAAAACCTACAAGAACCTACTTATTTATTTTATTTATTTACAGTATTTATATTCTGCCCTTCTCACCGCACAGGGGACTCAGGGTAGATTACAATGTACATATACATGGCAAACATTCAATGCCATAAACACACAACATATAACAACAGGTCCGTAGCTTGGGGCACTTGATGCTCAGGTGTCAGCAGTGGCCAGGAGGGCCTTTGCACAACTCAAAGTTGTGCGCCAGCTGCGACCATACCTCGTGAAGTCTGGCTTGGCCAGGGTGGTCCACACCTTGGTTACATCCAAACTGGACTACTGCACTGCGCTCTACGTGGGGCTACCCTTGGAGACGGCCCGGAAGTTTCAACCGGTACAACGGGCGGCAGCCAGGCTCCTTACTGGAGCAAACTATTAAAACAGCTTCTTCCGCTGCCAATAAGTTGCAGAGCCAAATTCAAGGTGCAGGTCATGACCTATAAAACCCTAAACGGTTCAGGCCCCGCCTGTCTCCATGATCGCATCTCTTTCTATGAACCGGCGCGAGCTCTAAGATCTTTGAGTCGACAACTTTCTCCGGATATAGGTGAACTACAACTCCAAAACGCAAGGCCCACCAAACCCTTCCAGTATTTTCTATTAGTCACAGGAGTTCTGTGTGCCAAGTTTGGTTCAATTCCATCCTTGGGGGAGTTCAGAATGCTCTTATATTGTTGGTTAACTATAAATCCCAATAATCACAACTCCCAAATGACAAAAATCAATCCTTCCCCTCCCTGCCCCCACTCCAACCCCACCAGTATTCCAACTTGGACATAATGGGTATTTGTGCCAAATTTGGTCCAGTAAATGAAAATACACCCTGCATATTTACATGACCATTCATAACACCAGGATTGTGGAGCAACAGGCTGAGTGTCAGCTGCATTAAGATCACTCTGACCAAAAAGGTCATGAGTTCGAAGCCAGCCCGGGTTGGGGTGGGTTTCCAACCAATTTTGTGTAGCCTGTTGTCGACCTTTGTAACCCAAAAGACAGTTGCATCTGTCAAGTAGGAAAATAAGGTACCACCTTAAAGCGTGGGGATGCTAAATTAACTGATTTATGAGGCCATCAAGAAGACTCCAGCAAAGCATTCCAGCGGGGAAGCATGCGGGGAATGCGGAAGTGCTTCATCAGCGTCGCAGATAGACGATGAAAGCGACAGCTCCCCTGGCGGCCAGAAAAAGTTAAATAGCCTCTGTGTATGTCTGTATATGTTCGTATGTCAAAATTGGCATGGAATGTTTGCCATATATGTGTACACTGTAATCCGCCCTGAGTCCCCTGCGGGGTGAGGAGAAGGGCGGAATATAAAAGCTGTAAATAAATAAATAAATAACAGTAGCAAAATTACAGTTATGAAGTAGCAATGAAAATAATGTATATGGTTGTGGGTCACCACAACATGAGGAACTGTATTAAGGGGTCGCGGCATGAGGAAGGTTGAGAATCACTGGTTTAAACTCTTGAAGTCCGACCTGGTTAACTACAAGATGGCCTTCTCCTGTACAATCCACTCCGCACAATTAGGTCCTCTGGGGAGAGCTACTTCAACCATCCAGAACCCAACTGGTGACCATCTCCATCTAGAACTCATTTAAACACCTATCTCTTTGGGCAGGCCTACCCCAATAGTGCATAGGGCAAAAGAGGAGAGGGTCACCTGTCCTGATGCCCTCTTTGTGATCTTCCCAGGGGCACCTGCCTGGCGCTTTGAGGCAAGTGGATCATAGAATCCTAGAATCAAAGAGTTGGAAGAGACCTCCTGGGCCATCCAGTCCAACCCCATTCTGCCAAGAAGCAGGAATATTGCATTCAAATCACCCCTGACAGATGGCCATCCAGCCTCTGTTTAAAAGCTTCCAAAGAAGGAGCCTCCACCACACTCCGGGGCAGAGAGTTCCACTGCTGAACTCTCACAGTCAGAAGTTCTTCCTCATGTTCAGATGGAATCTCCTCTCTTGTAGTTTGAAGCCATTGTTTCGCGTCCTAGTCTCCAGAAGCAGAAAACAAGCTTGCTCCCTCCTCCCTGTGGCTTCCTCTCACATATTTATACATGGCTATCATATCTCCTCTCAGCCTTCTCTTCTTCAGGCTAAACATGCCCAGCTCCTTAAGCCGCTCCTCATAGGGCTTGTTCTCCAGACCTTTTATCATTTTAGTCATCCTCCTCTGGACACATTCCAGCTTGTCAATATCTCTCTTGAATTGTGGTGCCCAGAATTGGACACAATATTCCAGGTGTGGTCTAACCAAAGCGGAATAGAGCATGGGGAGCAAGACTTCCCTAGATCTAGACACTAGGCTCCTCTTGATGCAGGCCAAAATCCTATTTTGCCGCCACATCACATTTATTTATTTATTTACTTTACTCTGGAATATAAAAACTAGCAGGTCCAACAGACCTCACAACCTCTGAGGATGCCTGCTCTCGAGCCACGTACTGCTCTCGAGCCATGCCTCATCGTCCCCCATTCTGTATCTTTGCATTTCGTTTTTCCTGCCAAAGTGGAGTATCTTGTATTTGTCACTGTTGAACTTCATTTTGTTAGTTTTGGCCATTCATCTCTCTAATCTGTCAAGATCGTTTTGAATCCTGCTCCTGTCCTCTGGACTATTGGCTCTCCCTCCCAATTTGGTGTCGTCTGCAAACTTGATGATCCTGCCTTCTAGCCCTTCATCTAAGTCGTTAATAATGATGTTGAACAGGACCGGGCCCAGGACGGAACCCTGCGGCACTCCACTCGTCACTTCTTTCCAAGATGAAGAGAAAGTATTGGTGAGCACCCTCTGGGTTCGTCCATTTAACCAATTCCAGATCCACCTCACCATAGTTTTGCCTCGCCCACATTGGACTAGTTTCCTTGCCAGAAGGTCATGGGGGACC